TATTCGATCCAAGGTTTCCCCGCTCCCTGGCTTTTGCACCTAACAACGAATGGTGAACAATGGGATGTCGTTCGGTCCTCTTTGACTCTCACTGTGCATTGATTCTGATCAATTTAAAAGGACCCCCGGGAAGCTCATGCTAAGCGTAATACGAGTGTTGGGGGATTCGATTTGGTCATATCGTGAATTTAGTCGGATACAGGGCAAACGAAGCGTGAACCGAACAGCTAGGAAGGAATGGATAGCTGTTTTGACCTGGTTAGGTCTCACTGGATCCACGATTCCATCGACCCAGTTACCCGTTGGTCAAGTGGGTAGTATGCCTCCGTGCTACGTGCGAGATCCCGGGTTCGATTCTCAGTTGGCCCGTTGGATTCGCACTACTTGTGAAACCCATCCAGGTTGAAGCAGTTGTCCTGTGCCTCCTAGCGTTTCAGTTCACGCTTTATTTACCCTGCACACCACCATATGAGTGTAACACTGTCTCAAAAGTTCGGTCTCACCTTGCCATTATCATTGACTAAATTCTTCCGCTGATATTATCTATTCTATAGGTAGTCAGATTGTGTCTCAATCAACGACCGAAACTCATGTCCCCACTTTATATATCTTGTGTTTGACAGCTTCAGAGCATGCTCAAAGCGAGTCCCGTAAGATTCTGTCACGCAAGCCCCTCTTGACCCCAACAGTTGAGAGTGGGGTGTAACACACACATCATTCGTTTTGCTATCTGTTCCTTTGGGAAACCTCTACAATCACATACACGCATACGTATATCTGTGCAAGCAAACCCGAATACGCACAAAGGCTTCTTCATGGGGAATTTTCTATTGTCTTCCGTACTAACCTGTGTCCCCCTCCCCCCTGCTGGTGACACATCGGCGCTCGCTCCACTCTCATTTATCCCACTGTGTTTGTGTGCGTGTGTGTGTGTGTGTGTGTGCGCGCGCACAGGTGTTTATTCGATTGCGTGTCACACTCCTCAACATCCGCGCCTAGAACAGACACGTTTCCGACTTGGTCTTGGTCGCACGGAATGGATCGGCACAACCGTTTATTTTACCAAGACCAGAAAACTATAGGTGCTCTCACGGACAATGTTTGTTTGGGAATTAGTCCTGTATGCCCTACATTCGTTGCTAGTGTGGTGTATTTCCCCGAATAAGAAAAATAAACAGATCAGGACGATCCACTCGAAGGTTTGGTCTCCGTTTCGTATTGACGGTGGTTGATTGCCATCTACACGAAACTAAATAACCAGGGTTACTGATATGTCTAATGCACTACTCTTTATCCTCTTCCCTAAGTAATTCTTCCGGTAATACGTGATGAGCCAAAGGGAATACGGGGTGGTGAAAGTCACCAACCTCGAGCCCACGAGGAGGCGGGTTCGAAACCTGCCATCACCGTCAGCGTCCAACGTTCTCGACTCTCTGTAGAAAAGCCCTTTGATGGATCACTTCCACCATCTTGAAAACTCTCTGGATTATAATGTACGTATTTAATAAAATTAAGCGTAAGAAAGAAAGAGGTGCCGATTAGACAGTGATTGAATGTTTATATTGTCCAAGAGAATAATCACTTCATTTAAAAGACTATTAGCACCCCAATGCGTTGATGAACTCATTTCGGATCTGCAGAAACTACCTTACACACTGCAACCGCGGGAACCCGATCACCGGATCACCAGTGCTTCGTGAATATAAACGTTTATCTCCTCCGCGTCACGCCTTCCTTATCCGGAATCTCCTCGTTCGTACACGTCGCTACTTTCGAAGATATGTTAATCTTGAGATTAACAGTGAAGAGAATTTTTTTGAGCCTCAGATAAATAGCCCGATAATCAGTGTTGTTGACTATAACGTTTATTTAAACAGCTAAACCGACTGTTGGATGACCTTTGCCGCTTATGAAACATTAGTTTTGTAATCTGTAGATAGTAACCGGTGTCCTTAGTTGAAAGGATAACCATAGGTAGTTCAATTGGTAGCGTGGCTGAAGGTTGACTAAACACTGCATTCGTTAAGAAGAATACGTGAAGGTGACGTCGTAAATGTATATGCTGTGAGACACTTTTTATAGCATGGAGGCACATAAATACACACGTGCGTCCACAACGGAAGCTGTACTCATTAGTAGAGAACCTGATTTTCGATTCCGTCGTCACTTTTTGACATCAGTCTGAACCAGTATCGATTTCGTGTTCTTCAATCTGTAATTTAGGTTAGTTTTTGCTAGGTTCCACGAGAAAGTGCTCGATGTGTAATTGTTCTTATGCGACAGGTCGCCTAAATGCCTTGACGGTAAAAGATTATCGTCCGATTAGCTCACCTGTGGATGAAATCGTGTATGTTTTACGGGAATTTGACCAGACCGATTAGAAGCCTCACTTGCTATGTGCGCTTTTTCCTAGTGCAAACTTCCAAGTGTGCTCCACTTGCCTGTCCAAGAAATACGGTGTGCACCTACTTTCTTCCTATAGGCCAGCCAATGATTGATCAATTTTGAATGCATTTCCATTAATTCATGCGCATCGGTGCTTCAGCATCAGTAGTCACCCATGGGGCTTAACTGCCCACAGAGCAT